GCCTGCCTGCCTTCGCAGCCTGGCTGGCCTGGGCCTCAGCCCAGAAGCCCGGTAGGCCCCAGGATGCTGCGCCTCTGTTGCAGCTACTGGGCCTCATTCGGTTCGCCCTCCCAACTGTCTGTGTATGAGCCTGCGATTCTCGTCCAGGGCCTGCATTTTTGGTGGGGCCTGGAAGGCCGTGGAATGTCTCGCTGCTCGGCCTGTGTTTTCCCTCAACCAACTGGCACGACAAAACTGTCTGGACCCCAAATACTAAATTGACAGCTTAGGGCCTCTCGTGATCTGTTAGGCCCGCCTTCACTTAGGGCGGGCACATCTGCAGCAAGGGGCCCCTTGGGCCTGCCGCGGACCCAGATCCTCGCATTCCCTCCTCCTTTTCTTCAATAGTCCTCTGAGAAGTCTTCTAATCTGCAGGCATCTTCCCCTTGAGTTCTCTTTCATAGCCTGCAATAACTTGAGGTGCTGTTCGCACGAGTTCTTCTCTGGTGAACCACCAATCTTCGCTGGGATCCAGATGATGCCTGAATCTGGCACGGTATTGCATTCTTGGCTTAGGAGGGTGGCCTCTGCCCTGTGGTTTAGGTACTGGCATCACTCGATGCTCCACAATTCCGTCAATGTCAACTTCACCATCCATGGTTGGGGACAGCATTGACCGTTTGGAAGGAAACAGTGTAGTTTCCGCAAAAGGTGCCAGCTTTGAAGCGTGAAAAACTGCGTGTGTAGGTAGATGAGGTGGGACGTGAATCACATAGGAAGGTCCGTCTACCTGATCCCCCACTATGTCTAGGACCTCCCAGGGACCGAAGTACTGTGGCATTAGTTTTCTAGATATTCCCAGTTCCTGTCCCAGTTCAGATGACTTTACCCAGACCCTGTCCCCTACCTGAAAGTTAAAAGGCCGTCGGCGTTTGTTCTCAGATGCAATCATAGCATCTTGAGATTTCCTCATGTGATCAACGGCCTGCTACAGCATCTGTTCGTATTTGACAGGAAATTCTACGCTACCTGGTGCTGCAGTGGCCTGTTTCTCAGGTAGTAGGAAATCAAGGGGAACGGGGCTTCCAACCAAGATGCAGTTGGTTGGGAGTCATGCCAGTAGCTCTGTGTACAGCGTTGTTGTACAGGCTGGCGACGAGAGGTAATTTCTTGCCCCAGTCATCCTGGCTTGGCTTAATGTAGTGCCTAAGCAAGTGCTGCACTACCCTGTTCATTTGTTCCGCCTGTACATTTGACTCAGGTTTATTCCCTGATGTCATTTGCAGTCTGAGTGAACATCCCTATCACTGACTATGGACTTAGGTAAACCAAAATCCCGTACCCAGTTATCCATAAACAGTCTGATGACATAGTCAGTCTTGGCAGTTTCAGGCATAGCGATTAGAAAAGCGGTCTACTATAACAAAAGATGTGCCTTTTCCCAGACCTGCTGGTCACAAGAGTATCCATGAAGTCCATGGACACACTCTGACC